TTACATTACCTGTATCTGATGATTTTATGAATTACTTTGCTGCCTCTTGATTAAATCTTCCGTTAATATTGTGAACTGGTGGAAAAGTAAAATTAGATGTATGAAATATTGGGAAGAAACAAAGTAGTTCCCATGTTTTAAACGGAAGAACGTATTGCAATCGCTAATTAAATAAGTTTATTAAACACTTAAATCAAAACTGGAAATTATGTTACTCACTTAATTAGCTTTGGTTCACTTAGATAGCGAGTTTATGAATGTATATATATATATATGAATAGGATCTTTATACGGGTACCCCAGTGGATCCACAGTTAGTTTAGAGATTTACAACGTTAAATTAAAGGGTTCGACTCCTCATGCTAAAACAAGCAAGCATGTTATACGACAGTCTGTTTTAGCAGTAACCATCATTACCACAGTTGGTTTCTATGAAACTTACTGCCTGGAGCGGTTAGCCTCATTAATTTTTTGTTTCTTTGTTTGTTTGAAGTTAAGCACAAAGCTACACAATGGGCTATCTGTACTTGCCCACCACGGGTATCGAAACCCGATTTCTAGCGTTGTAATTCCGCAGATATATTGCTGTGTCACTGAGGGGGGGCTTGCTTTTTGGATTGAGTGGGCCATTGTAGCGAAATAGGATCTCCTGGTCTCAGATTATTTATCACATGTTGAATTTAGTGTCGTTTTAGGTCTCTAGTGTGTAGTTACTTTAATATAACTTTAGGAAAATGTTTTGTATATCAACTCTAATCCGTGTGAAACATTTTGTGATAAAGATTTGTTTTTTCTCATTGACTGATGCTTTGTTGTTGTTGTTTTTTTCAGCCATGCCACTAGAACTCTACACGATGTGGCAGCAGTATCCTTGGGAATTAGGAAGTTTGATTTGTGAGCTTCGTGCTATCATTCCTGAAACTACCGCCTACGCGTCCATTCTGACAATAGTAACGTTTAGTACTGAACGTTACATAGCTATATGTCATCCTATACGTCATCAGACCAAATCGAAGCTCTCCCGTGCAATGCGAAATATTGTTATAATATGGATTTTATCATTTGTTGGAGCAACACCCTATGGAATCTTTACCCGCGTGAATTACTTAACGGATGATAAAGGCATCACACTCGTATCTTCAGCTTGGTGTGGCTTTCCTTTCAACAAACCAGACAGAAGCTGGGAGACTTTGATGTTGTGTTCCACGTTTCTTTTTTTTGTTGTTCCAATGACGGTTATAATAGGTTTATATGTAAGAATAGCCATGGCGTTACACCAATCCAAAAATCTCCGTAGATGTACTTCAGAAGGAAGCGCTGCCTATCGAGGAGACAGAGAACGATCAAAGATACAATCACGAAGGATTGTGGTCCGCATGTTAAGTAAGACACGGTGATATCCTCTTTTAGATAACTTTATTAACATCTCAACCAATAATAATAAGACATTATATATTAGTCGAAATAATAATATTCAGGTTATTATTAATACAAAATAACACTCCTAGCATTCATTTCCAAAATTTATATATATAAAATTAATTAATCGAAAAATTTCAGATTTTCGCCACTAACAACAACAACAACAACAAAAAACAAACGTGAAAATTTCTAATAAAGAAAACGTTGATATGCTCTTCATTTCCGTTTGTTAAATAAATGAACTAATATATGTTTTTTTTCACATTTCCGTTTTCTTTAATCTTGTGTTTTTTATTTTTTTTACCTTCTAAAGTCAACTAATATTTAAAGTGGCCTGGCATGACCTCAACTCTCAATTTAAGGGTCGTGAATTCGAATCCCCGTCACCAAGCATTCTCGTCCTATATATTTTCCGACTGTATCAACCAGCCGAGTGTAAAAATAAAAATAAAAATTCGCAGATTACAAAAATACCGACCGGGCCCGTACTAATTAGGATTAAGGTTGTAAAGTAAGGAAAAGAGTAGGATGCTTAATCACAAAAATAAAGTTCAGCCTAATAAAATAAAGCGTTATATAGCTGTTTGAAAATTAATAGTACTATAAAAGTACTTTCCTATGTTTTTTTTTCTTTCTAGTTGCCGTTGTTATTGCTTTCTTCGTATGTTGGGCTCCATTCCATTCACAACGACTGCTTTTTCTCTATGTCACTCTATATTCAAGATGGACGACCCAGTTACGGACAGTGAACCACTACTTGTTCTCTCTCGCAGGTAAAATAATTAGTTTTACATTCTGTCTAATGTCTTCTATCCACCATACTCTGTATTTGTACGTAAAACTTCATTTTAGTTTGAATGTTTCATGTATCTTTAGGTCGGTCTATCGGTGAAAACGAAAGATGTTACAGATTTTTATGTTTGACGTAGGAAAAACTTCCGATGTTATTTTTGAATTATTGGAGGCGTAGTATTTCTGGAATTATGACACCAGGTGGAGTCACTAGAGGTCTGCTTATAATGGAGAATTTGAATATTTAGTCATCAGGATATAAGTTACAAGTTGAAGGGACTAAGCTGGATGTCCAACAATACATAACACAAAATATTAGCAAACAGACTTAGAGTAAAGTTATAAATAACTGAATTATATACAGATAATTAAGATAAAGATAAATCAAATTATCGTTCATAGTTAATGAAATAAGCTGTCGAAATACGCACATTGTTGTGGTAGATTTAATGAACCAGACAACTATAAAGATGTCTTTATTAATGTAGTCAAATGATAGAGACCTAGTGTCAAGAAACTGAAAAATGTATCGCAAATGACAAACACGTGTACTACACCAGGAACTTCACAGAATCCCCAGAAAACCCTCTTTACTCTCATGGAAATAGGAGGGAGAGGGTGAAGCATAGGTAAAATAACACACACAATCCTAAGAGTGAACATACTTCCCGATTATAACATACAATCCTATGAAACTTAAAACCTGTGTATGTAATATATATATATATACTATAGGAGTGATGGCAACTAGATTAATAGGCGGGAAAAGGACAAATAAAACATTGAATATATAAGATAAGGTAAATCGTACAGGAAAATATTTTCGTTTCACGTTGTTTAGATCAACAATCTTTAACTACGACAAGCCACAAGCGGGAAATATGGAAGAAAGTAATTTCATTGAAAAGACGATTAAGTTATAAAAGTTGGTTGAACTTAACAATCAGGTCTTTCAGCTTTGCAATTATTTTATCTACTTATCTTTAGTTCTAGTGCCATTTTTTGCTTTGTTGTTGTTGGTGGTTATTTTTAAAAACGAACCTCCACAAATTTAATCAAATGTTTAACTGTTTATAATTCAAATTGTAAAATGAATCTTCTTAATAAAAAAATTAAAATAAGACTACACATAAAACAAAACTTTTTCCACCGCTGTTGACGTAGAGTATTTTCAAAGTGATAGAAATGTTCAACCAGCAAATACGTTTAAATACATTGTAGATATAACTGTTCAACCAGCAAATACATTTAAATAGAGTGTAAGTAAAAGTGTTCAACCGGAAACTATATTTAAATAAATCATAATTAGAAGTGTTTAACCAGGAAATTCATTTAAATAAGTTATAAATGGAAATATTCAAACAGGAAATATATTTAAATACACCGTAAACAGAAATGTTCAACCAGCATATACATTTAAATACATCGTAAATAGAAGTGTTCAGCCAGCAAATAGATTGAAATATATTGTACATTTTTGGAGGTTTTTTTCTTGTTACTTAGTTTTACTGCACGTTTTAGAAATACTGAATCGTGCAAGTTCAACAATAAATTCGTGACTATAACAACATCGCACGATCCTCCTCTACTTATGTGTTTATAAAATGTATTTTCGTGCTATAAACAGAACCTTATTCAAGTATTAGTTGTAGTTTTATAAATAGTTAAGAACAGCGTTTCTAGGTTAATTCATTACATTCTTTACTCAGAACATACACGTCTTGTAAACAAAAAACAAGATAAGATTTCCACTGGGAATCATACACATCTTGTGCATAAGAAAATCAGCTAGAATCATACTCATTTTCTAAGCAAAAAAACTAGCTACAGATTTCCACTGGGGATCATAAAAGAATTGTTGTTCTAAATATTTTTGTCAACTACAGTTTTGATGAATTGGGAGAAGTTAATATATACAAAACTACACTCCGATATAATCGTTAATTTTTGGTTTCTATTTTTCTTTTGTTTTTAAAAAGAATTTCTTTAATTTTTTGCCAGTTGATGCTGTTTGCTATAAAAAAAATAACATTTGAAAAAATCAAAAGAATAATTATGATTGAGCATACATTAGAAGGTATAGGAAGGGACTAAGATATATAGATGTATGACCACATAGTTTATCATGCTAAAATACATATAAGTATCACCATGAAACTTTTATTATCATGCTAAGTTCTATATAAGTATCATTATGAAACTTATTTTATAATTCTAAGATCTATGTATATATCATTCATTATGAAACTTATGTTGTGCTAAGATCTGTGTAGGCATGGTTAAGGCGCTCGACTCGCAATCTGAGGGTCGCGGGTTCGAATTCCCATCCCACCAAACATGCTCGCCCTTTCAGCCGTGGGGGCGTTATAATGTGCGGTCAATCCCACTATTCGTTAGTAAAAGAGTAGCTCAAGAGTTGGCGGTGGGTGGTGATGACTAGCTGCCTTCCCTCTAGTCTTACACTGCTAAATTAGGGACGGCTAGCACAGATAGCCTTCGTGTAGCTTTGCGCGATATTCAAAACAAGCAAACAAACAAGATCTATGTAAGTGTCATTATGAAACTTATGCTATCATGCTAAGGTCTACGTAAATATTATTATTAAACATAGTTTATCATGCTAATGTCAAGAGAAGTATTGCTAGATAACTTCTGCAATGATGTCATATATCTATATTTCTGCGTGTTCCCTCCAGCTATACTTTTTTGTCCAACTACTTTTTCTCTAATCATTTAGTGTCCACTTGTATTCTCACTCCAACTATTGCTATTTCTGTTCAATCAATGGCCTCTATTGTCTACTCATTAAGCCTTTTCTCAGCTCATCTCTACGTTTACACTTACATCCAACTCTATTTTCTGCATGTGCTTGCCCAATATGACCTAACAACCAACTTCCTATAGACCAACATATCCTGCATTCTATTCCTGTAGACACTGCAATCTACCTCTATTAACCAAGTAATGTTCGTCTATACACCCAACAATACACTGTTACAGGCCAGTAATACCACTCGTAAACTCTCTAAAATCTACCCTCTAACACAACAACCTATACAAAAGAAAGAACGCTTTTAAATTTTAAAAAGGACAAGATGGCAGCAAATTAGCAGCCAAAACTTAGGATATGAATTAATTAGTAATTAGCATTTATTAATCAAAAGTAACTAATTAGTACATAGATTTAGGGAATCGTATAGGCTACTATAAGTGACAACGAATGTATGGCTACTACAGAGGGTTTAGTAGGTTATATTAAAATAGTTATGAATATGCAAATCAGTAGCTTATGTGAAAACCATAACCAATATAAAGTCGCGATAGAAAAACCTGTATCAGAAAACTGATCACTTTTAGGAAGGTTTGTAACAGCACTTTCTTACGCAAAATATTCATACACTCAGATCACAGAGATGTGTGCTGATGGGTGATTGAGAATTTCCAAAACAGGGAGATCCCTTTTGCTTTATGTCATTGGAAAACAAAGGATTATGGATGAACTTGGAGCACCAGGACCGTCTAAAAAGTTACCTGCAACAAGTCATACCCAAACTGTGGTAAGCAACGTGCAAAATGTTGTAATAAGTGAGAATAGATTAACACAAAGGTCAGTGATAAAAGCCGTCCACATGCCCCAGGCAACAAGTAACTGGAGAATGAAACGGTTATTAATTTCATTCTATAAGAAAACATACAGGTCAAGTCGCCAGATTTATATGAGATTGACTGTTTGAAAGTGGGTGTAAAGTAGGCGTCGTCTTCATACACTAGATGAATTACGGAAAGCCTATAAGGACGAAGAGGTGTTTTTAGACATGACAAGTCTTTAGTCGAAGCCTTTTGCAATGGGCTATTGCCAAGATGCGCTGTCGTCGAATGCATAGAGCATGATCGAATGTGGTGATATGGACTGTCCAAATTCGCTTTTAATATAACGTACTCAATCATTCTGTTGAGTATAGGGTTATCTGATTTTTATTTATGCAGCATGATTTAAACACAATTAAACGGTTTTAAGTATATGTACAAAATGCTCTTTAAAGAAGGTTAAGCATAAAACAAAGTCCACTAAGAGAGAGTTATATCTTCGTCGGTTAAAGGTGAAAAAATATTTGAAATAACCGTAATTTACGCTGTGATTTTGAACAAGTTATCACACTTCAATGTTTAATATGTTTATACATTAAACAGAAGGTACTCTACTGTGAACTAAACTCCATAGTAAACACATGATATACTACTTCGATACAAAATTTCACATTAAATACATAGTTTTCTTTATTGTTACATTAACTTCACATTAAACACATTGTAGTCCACTTTGTTACAAAACTCAATATTAAACACATGGTTTATACTTCATTATAAAACTCAATATTAAACACATGGTTTATACTTTATTATAAAACTCAATATTAAATACGTGGTTTATACTTTGTTATAAAACTCAATATTATACTCGTAGTTTGTACTTTGTTACAAAACTCAATATTAAATACGTGGTTTATACTTTGTTACAAAACTCAATACTAAACATATGGTTTATACTTTGTTATAAAACTCAATATTATACTCGTAGTTTGTACTTTGTTACAAAACTCAATATTAAATACGTGGTTTATACTGTGTTATAAAACTCAATACTAAACATGTGGTTTATACTTTGTTATAAAACTCCATATTAAACTCGTAGTTTATACTGTGTTACAAAACTCAATATCAAACACATGATATTCTACTTTGATACAAAACTTCACAGTTAACACATGATATTCTACTTTGATACAAAACTTCACAGTTAACACATGATATTCTACTTTGATACAAAACTTCACAATTAACGCATGGTATTGTACTTTGTTACAAAAAATATTCACTAAATAAGCGGTATTCCACTTCAACACAAAATCCCACACTGTATAAAAAAACTCTACACTAAACACCTAATATTCTACTTTGTAACAAAAAATCCATACTAAAC